AACAATCGCAACCAAGAATGCTGGAACTGCCATCATGGTGGGACAGTCATGTGATATTTCACTTAATGACCATTTCACTTAGTGACAGAGTTGCCAGTCCTAATTAGGCCATTACGTGAGGACTACCTGTACTTTGCCCTCTCACACTTGCAAAATGCACCAGCAGTTGGGGCAGAAAGCAGCATCGCCATCTGGCATAATCTCATTTCCATACTTTTTAATTATGAGGCGTATTTATTTAAAAATTCCTGCAGTTAAAGTTAGCATGAGTGGCAGAATTTGCACCAACGTGTATTTCTTAAATATGAACTGTTGAATAGATTCCTTGTTCATAAGTCCCATGCAGAAAAAAATGCCTAATTTCTGAGATCAGACAGCCTAACATAAAAAGCTTTGTATTCATTACTGTAGGTTTCCTACTATAAGTAGCATTTGTTCTAAGATTAGTAAATACTATCTTATATATTATTATCTTTCAATAATGCCATCCTTCTTTATCTACTTAAAATACAGTACATTTTTTACATATTATAAATATTTATAGCACATCCATGCTGTTTGCCTGGAAATTTACTATCATCTCAGGAACAAATCATGTTCTGCCAAGTAATTGCTAGCCTTTTATTTTAGAAAGTTGTACACATTTAAGCTGATTATTTGAAAACTTTAATAGGGAAAAGGCAGAGATACTTCAATGCATGTTGGAAATGCAATAGTTTGAACACACATCTACGTTATATTAATTATGTAGCACGTAGCTTTCACTATTCTTTTTTTAAAATCAATCTATAAATTATATGCCCCTTCTCATGAAGTATTTTAAAAAAAGTTTTTTTTTCTTTTTCTGCTGTATGGATAATTGGATAATTCGGGGAGAATAGAATAAAACTTACTTTCCCCATTTTGATAGCTTCAATGTGCATTGGATTTCTTTGTGTTTTTGACTAAGAACAAGAAATGGAGCAGCACACAATAATATTAACAGAATGCATAGCCTAATATCCCCCAAAGAATGCAAACCCCTTTTATAATATTTAGAATGTCTGCCTTTACTTTTAAAATCCTTGTATTGAGAGAGCCCCACAGAAATTCATTCATTTCTCCTCTCTTTCTCAGCTAGATAAAATTATGGAGAACCAAAGACAAATGAACTAAATTATCAATTATTTTGAATAGGTTGCCAAATGAACGTTTTTTTTCTATTTACGATAGTTGCTGATTAGTATGCACATTTTAAGATGCACAATTAGTATGTACATTCATTTGAAAAATATGTGAATTGTCTATGGAAAACACTGGTTTCAAACTAAATCAGTGTTTGAAATTGCCTTTATTTACATTAATCTGCCTTAAGTCTGTGTGTGTGTGTATTTAAAGAATGTGTTTATGTTTCAACCTATGCTACAGCTTGATTAAAATAATAGTTCTTAGAATTATTGTACATGGTTGAGAAGAGATGAATGAGAATCAGTAAAAAATGAATAGAAATCATTCTAGTTTTTCTTTTAGGCTTTTGTAGTTCATCATGTAAGTATACATCATTTATCATTAAGCAACAAGTCTGTTGAAACCCTGTTATCCATTATTTCATATATAATGAGTTGTATCAGATTGTATTATATAAGCCAGCAATCATCAGGCTGTCCAAACAGCAGATTTGCCAGGTATATGTAGGGTAGCACAAATCTCTGTGGATGCTTTTGGGTAAAAGTACTTAAACACTCTACAAATTAACCCTAGTTTTTTAGAATGGAAAAATCCTGCTCTGACCATGCCAAGAAACAATAAAGAGGTAACTGGCAAACCAATTTTGGAAAAGCATTTTTTAAAAAATCTACTGAATAATGTGCATTCTTCGGAAAGGAATTCATATCCAAGTTGCAACCCCCATTGAGCTGGATTACTGTATTGAGCTGGATCCATGTGCCTTTTGAATAGCACTTTTCCTGTCATCCAACTTCCAAGTCACCATCATGAGGTTTTGTCATAGTTTGTAATTAATTTATTTTCATCTAGAATTAGGACTGAGAGCCGCTTTTGTGTAGTGGTTAAGGCAACAGGCTAGAAATGTGGAGACTGTGAGTTCTAATCCTGCCTTAGGCACAAAGATAAGACCTTAGGCCAGTCTCTCTCTCTCTCTCTCTCTCTCTCTCTCTCTCTCTCTCTCCCCCTCCCCCGCTCCCTCCCCTAGAAAGTAAGCAGTAGCAAACCACTTCCGAACTCTTGTCACGAAAACTGCAGGGACCAGTCCAGGCAGTTGCTAGGAGTCAACACTGACTTGAAGGCACACACACACGCACACACAAACACACACACACAGAATTAGAATTATCGTTTCATAGCATTAGCCTTGGACATTTATATGTTTGAAACAAAAAATAAAACAATATACATGTCTTTTCTTTGAACTTGATCTTTTTAATCTCACATAGAATTGAGGGCTGGGGTGAAATAATGCTTCCTTTGGAATCTGTCAAACTGCAGATTCAAATTCCTTCCCATAAGACTGGCTACGAATTCTTAGAAGCTAAGCTCCACCTATTTCATATTATAGCATTTAAACTGGAACACTGTATTCAGTGACAAGCATCCCCAGTCTTATCTTGAGACACATGAGCCATTCCTAGGAAGAAGCTATTGATTGATTATCTGCCATCAAATCAGTGCCAACTCTTAGCAACCACATAGATAGAACTTCTCAAGGTGATCTGTCCCCAACCTGTCCTTTGGGTCTTCCAACAGTGTACCCATTGCCACTGTAATTGAGTCCATCCATTTTACTGTTGGTTGTCCTCTTCTCTTTCCTTCCACCTTTTCCAGCATTATAGACTTTTCTAGAGACCTAGCATTTTGCATGATGTATCCCAAGTATAATAATTTGATCCTGGCCTTGAGTGAGAACTCTGGAATGATTTGTTCAATGATCCATTTATTTGTTTTCTTGGCTGTCCATGGTATTCTCCAGAGACTTGTCCAACACCAGAGTTTAAAAATATCAATATGCTTTCTATCCTGCTTCTTCAATTTTCACTTCCAAAGTGAAAGGAAAAACCATTGCCTGCACAGTTTCAGTCTTTGTAGGTATAGATACATTTTTTTTTTTTTTT